GACTTTTTTCTTATTCAGTGGGAAAGTATGGTTTACTTAATAAATGGTGCTGGCATTATTGGCTATTTGGAAGAAAATAAAATTGGGCCTGTCTTACACTATGTAAAAAAATCGATATGGGTTAAAGAAAGGTAATAAAGCATTAGGAGAATACTTACAACTTTAGGGTAAAAGAGGTCTTCCTAAGCAAGGCAGGAAACCCAGAAATCAAAGAAAAGGTGTGTATGCTTGACTATATCAAATTAAATAATTTAAATAACTAAGGAATTTAAACAAATACCTAAATTAAATATTAAATTTACTGTTGTATGGTAAAAACCATAACCAAATAAAAAAGCGAAAGAGAAAAATGTATTTTTTTCAGCCCTCATTTTAGATTGCTTATTTGTACTCCCCACCATCTTCCACACAGGTTACTCCATTTGTTGGATCCCTTGTTTTAGGATGGGGCTCACTATTTGGGGAGAATAGCCAGGATGCTACTATGAGGAGACAAAGGGTGGGACGCCTTGGTGTTGATCCCAGTTGTACACTGAGTCTCAGTAGAAAGAGAAGGAGTATCTTATGTCCATCCACAATTGCAAGAGACAGCTGATATTCTGGTAAGGCCCACAAGTTTGGGCGGGGCCTAGGAACTTGGGATAAGGTCTCTCAAAAGCCCTCAAAGGTGAGCATCACTATCATCATCAATGAATCTAAATGCAAGTATATACTTAGAACATCAAAAATCTCACAGGGACATGCTCTCAGAGAAAAAAAAAAACACTGATGTTTCCATTGCAAGAGCCAACCTGGGAAGTTGGGGCTGTTCCCAACAATTCCATGTGATGGGGCGTTTGGGAGAGGATCTGGAGGCTAAACTGACACTTTGGCCCCCTAAGAAGGGCCAATCCAGACCCTTCAGGCTTCTCCTACGGACCAGCCAGCTCAACCTGTTGTGACAGCTGCTCCCTGAGAGTGCTCTGCTGGAGCTGAGCTCACTTTATCAGCAAGTCTCACTGAGAAATGCAGCAGGAGCCCTCAGCTGCTTCCACTCCGTCTGGTGAGGAAGCAGGGAGGCAGGTGTTGACAGCTCTGCATAAGGACTTGCCCTAGTCCGAGGCCTGTGAAGAAACTCCCCTCCTCTGGAAGCTGATTAAACATGGGATAAAGGAGATCAGTAGGCTAGGCAGCCTTAGCCTTACCTTAGGAGTAATCCTGCCCAAACTTTAAGTAGAACAGAAATTCCAATTAGATTTCCATAAAGTTTCTCTTTAAAGTCTCCACCCCCGACATACCCAAACAAAAACAAACATCCTATAAATAAAAGTGTAGTAGGAAGAGGAAAGTAGGAGAGGTTGTGTGAAGCCTGTTTCAAAAAGGAGGACGTGATTAACAGTATCATTGAAGAGAAGTCAAATAAGGTAATATCTGAATGTCCTTTGGGAATTTTGAATTTTCAAAAATTTTGCTGATCTGATAGGTGAAAAAACAGTAACTTATTGTTTTAATTTGCATTTGCCTAATAAGTAATGAAGCTGTATATTGTCTCAAATGTGTATTGGCTGTTTTTATTTCATCTGTGAAATATCTATTCATGTATTTTGCACATTCTTCTATTCGGCTGTCTTTTTCCTATCAATTTGTAGGGAATTCTTTGTATATCAGAGATGTAAAAATTTTTTTCTATTATGTGGGTTGCAAATTTTTTCACTTAGTAACTTGTTTTAAAATTTTGTTTATGAAGGTACTTAAAATTGGAAGTTCCCTAACTTAAATTTTGCCCTAGGTTTTAACTTTTTTGGTGGTGGAGGGTTACTTCTTGACTCAAAGGGTCAGACTAGATGGAGACTCATTTAAGTCTTGCTGGGGGAAAGGTGGGAGGCAGCGGGCCCTTCAGAAGACAATTCAATAGCCCTTTTATATACATACAATAAGGTTTTCTATTTCTTTAAAAAAAACAAACTTGCAATGTTTAGGTGAATCTGGAAATATTTAAATCTTATGATAATTATGCTAATTAGAATAGTTTACTTACAAAGATGCAAACTACAGGGCAGAATATATGTTATGAAAATTTAATACAGAAAACTGAGAACATCTCAGAACAATTGCATTCTTTAATGTATAACCAAATGTAAATCATTTTGTTACTGGGTTATCATAAAAAACAATGGAATGTGGCATGTAGCATTATTCTTTCTCTTTCAAAAAAACCTCAGACGAGTTTGTCCATCAACTCTACCAGGGATTTTTTCATACATTAGACGTTGTTTTTTGCGTTGTGGTAGTTGTGCGCACATGAGACCTGTTAAAAAGAGTAAAAGGAAAACCATTTTATTACTGATAATAATGTGAGTTACTTTTTCCCCAGTTATTCAAGTAAATCTTATCTTTTCAGCATCTATCTACAAAGTTTTAAAATTTCCAAACTGGGATAAAATAATTATTAAAAATTGCATTTTTAGTATAAATGCACCTGTACCCAATGGCCCAGTACTAACTAGTGTTATATACAGATATTTGTATGCTCATGCCGTGTGCAAATAATTAAATCTCCCTGCATTTGAGACTCTTGCCTTGAAGTTTTCTCTCTTTAAGCCTTTCCTTAACCTATATCTGTGCTGTTATAGAATTGATCCTGAGCTGTTACATGGTATGTGGTGCTCATGTATGGACTCACCTTCCATGACTGTATTATATATGATATACCTTAGTCTGAAATATCCTAGATTTGAATACTTACAGAGGTCTATTGATTAAATCAGTAAAAGAGGGAGGCTAAAACATTTAAAACCATTTTAGTATTCCTGGGGATATAATCTCATTATTGCAAGAGTTGGATGCCATTATGAGCAAATTTAAAAGCAATGTAGTAGATAATTTTATCATAGAGGTCATAAATATACACCTACAGAACATATGGAAATTATCTTGAGGTACACCAATACTTTGGATTAATTTTCTAGGGCTGCATCAATAAAAATTCAAAGCATGTTATATCGTAAACAACGTATTTGGAGGTAATGATGTGCTATGGAAAACCACAGTAAAGTCAAATGTTGCCATAGTCATAATGAAGATACTAGCATTAAAGATTTATGTGAACTGTGTGAATAAAAGTATTTTATGGAAATAATTGGAAAGTGGAAAAATTTTTTCTATAAATTTATAAAATATATTTTTCAATATTTCTAACCAACATTATATATAGTTTAAAATATTTATTTATAACTAAATTGATGAAATAAAATGTGGGTATATAGTTGACTATTCTAGCTATATCCCTAAAAGCTTAAATATTAAAATTTATTAAAAAATATTTTCTGAAATTTTCTCATTGAGAAAATGGGAAGATTATCTTACATTGGGGGCCCTATGTTCAAGAATATATAATAACTGGCTTAATTTGTTCCAAAGAGGAAAAGCTATGGAATTTTTCCAGTTCATTTATGAAGCTGGAATACTGATTATGAACCTTCATGTCAAAATGTGACAGAACACAATACAATAAATTACCTTTATTATAAATGTAGATGTGAAAAATCATAAATATTAGCAACCACGTTCAACAGTATATTAAAAGAATCACTCCTCAAAAACCAGTTAGGTTTACCACAGAAATGGCAAAAATGGGTTAATATTAGAAAACTTTTAAATATAATCCTTGACATTAGTAGGTCAATGGAGAAAATATGTTTGATTTTCCCCAATAGGTGCCAAAAAGAATTTGGATAAAATTCAGCATCTATTCCTCACAAAACTTCTTACAAAACTAGGGGTAGAGTACTTCCCATTAAAATCAGGAACAAAACAAATTATGACTATTAAACAGGACCAAATCCAAGTTTTGTGAGTCCTGGGGCTTATACAGTTTGCGAGGTCCTGTTTGTTT